TATCTCCACCCACCCACTCTTCCTCTTATTGGTGTATTTCAGCTTCTGAGCAAACTCCATTCTATGTTGATGGTATTTATGCTTCCATATCAACATATCTTAGTTTTAAAGAAAAAAATAAGAGAAGACAGTATACATGTGCAATCGTATTACATTAAAATCTAACACCCCTCATCAAGCCTAATATACATCCCTCCCTCCCACCCTCCAGCTCCATTTGAAGGCAGATTCTGTAGCCATTTAGGTACTCCACATTCCTTGGCAGCCAATTCCACTTACTTCCAAAGAATTTGGAGGTCAATCAGACAATTGTATTGAAGGTATGAAGAAAGCAAATAATGACTACACAGAAAGGAAATTACTCTCCTGGTATTTTTTCTGGTGATGGATTGCAAAAACAAGAAGCTGGCCAACATTTTGAGGACATGGATGTTGAAGATTTTAACGCGACAAACACACCAGCAAGTCTCATACACTGGAGACATCTTCCTTCCGTAAGTGTTAATTAAACAAGAGTACTGCAAGCAAACATTTGCCAATCCAGAATTCCCATCTTGCCTGCTGGGAACAGCCATTTCCCTACACTTTTCATCCAGTGTGTATGAACATAGTTCTTCTGGGCCTTCAAAGAAAAGTATTTTCTCCCTTTCCAGGGGAAGTATGCGGATTTTCCAGTCCACTGTAATATTTTCCGCAACCTATTCCAACATTTTCATGTAGAGGAAAAAGATGTTTGGCCAGAACCAGATTTAATTTAGAAGTGAGTGTATGTGTAGAGGTATGAAAGAGGAAAAGAAGGCCCACCGCTTTGAAGAGAGCATTGTATTAATGACCGCAAGTTGTTTGAGGAAGCCTCAGCCCCTTTCCTCTCTACCATAAAAACAACTCCCTCAGCCCCCGAGACAAGTGAAATGTTAAATTCTTTTTGTTCCACCACACGCTGGGATCAGAACACTGGGATAATATTGTGTAAAGTCAGAGCTACGGCAAAAGAGATTTGTGGTATGCCGGGAAAAAGGAGTCCACATTTATTTATTTATTATTTATTAATTTATTTGTCTTGTATGCCGGCCACTCCCGGAGGACTCCGGGCGGCTCACAAAAGACA